TCATAATCTTTACCTATGGTTCAAAGATAATAAAAGTTCAAGCTGATAATGAAGTTAAGTCAGGCTCAAGCTGTAATTCAATATACATATTAAGATAATAAATTGCAAATCTACTAGCAGATGCAGAGTTTTTTACCATACATCTCAACAATACTAAAGATAAAGAAGAAGCAAAAGAGAAATCGCTCTTACCAGAAGTATTAGACATCAAAAAAAAATTCCAAGATGTATTCACAGAAATCTTATCAAATTAACTATCACCCAAAAGAGTAATTGATCATAAAATTAATCTCATCTCAGGATCTGAACTACCATCCAGACCTATCTATAGGCTTTTTTTCACAGAAATGGATGAGCTCAAGAAACAATTGGCTGATTTAATACAGAAAGATTTCATTTGTCCAAGTGTCTTACCCTTTGAAGTATCAGTTCTTTTTGTACATAAGAAAGAAGATACATTAAGATTATGTGTTGACTATAAAGCTTTGAACAAAATCATCATCAAGAATTACTATCCTTTACCAAGAGTTAATGAGTTGATGAACAGACTAACAGGTTCAAAATACTTTTCAAAGCTGGACTTGTATTCAGGATATTACTAAATTTGTATTGCAGAAGAAGATATTCATAAGATAATATTTAAAACTCGCTATGGATACTATGAGTTCTTAATTTTATCTTTTGATCTTACCAATGCATCAGCCACCTTTATGATGCTTATAAATAACATATTTCATGATTATCTTAATAAATTTGTAATCATATATCTAGATAATATCTTGATTTACAGCAAAATAAAAAAAGAACATATTCAACATCTTCAGACTGTCTTAGAAATACTTTGCAAATACAAATTATATGTCAAGTAAAAGAAGTGTGATATTATTTAAAATATTTTGAATACTTTATCTCAGCAGATAGTATTTCTGTTAACCAAAGAAAAATTACCGCTATCAGAGATTGGCCAGCACTAACAAATGTATCAGAACTTTGCTCATTTCTAGATCTTGCAAGTTATTACAGAAAATTTGTGAAAAGATTTTCAGCAACTGTCTCACCACTCATAGTACTTCTACATAAAGATCAAGAGTATGAATAGTTTACCATAGCACAACAAGCTTTTAAATAATTAAAGCAATATTTCACCTTAGCACCAGTCTTATTGTTGCCTGATCCAAAACTATTATTTACAGTCACCACAGATGCTTTAGATTTTAACATCAGTATATCAAGCCTAGCATTCATAAATAACATAATTTGGATTTCTAATATTAAAAAAAATATGATCAGTATTCTAGAAATAATACAAGAGTTTTATGATATATGTGATATCAAAATTAATACTAATAAAACAGAAGTATTATCAATTAACCTATCAAAGTTAAGTGAAGATATCAAGCTATTCTTTCATTAAATGAAGCCAAAGATAAAAATTATCTTAACTAATAGCTATATCAAGTATCTAGGAATTCTAATCAGCTCAAATAGCAAGTTCAGAGTCTAGCAATAGCAAATAAAAATAGAAGTCAACTCAATGATATCCATACTTGAAAAAAAATTTATTATAGACAAACAGACAATATATATTTTTAACAGAGTTTTATTTCCTGCAATAGAATATAAAACTCAATTTTTTATTTTATTAAATACTTTCTATAACGTAATAATGAGAAAAATTAAAAAAGTGATCAAACAAAAATTATCATTATCCACAGACTGTCTTGACTCAATTTTGTCACATCCAGCATAATTAGCACAAGATAATATTGATGACATCTTGATATGACATAAAATCTCAGAATTATTTTTCTAGCTTAATGATAATATCTTGATAGAGATGATTATCTTAATCAGATTATAATAGCTACAAATGCAATATTAATTAGAAATCTCAATGTTAGTCTTACCTATACCAGAGTCAAGTTCTGTTAGAAAAAATCTAATTGCAAGTATAATCTCACTAATATATAATAACAATATCTTCTTTTAACTTATAATTAATAATAAATTAATATTACGAATAAATATATTCAGATAGCTATTAATATAAGTATTAAATAACTGGTCAGATTATAAATCTGCTTGTAAAGTATTAGCTTAAGATAATATACTATTTTTATCATAATTAACAAAATATAATAATACACAACTCATATTATGGAAATAATATAAACATAAATATAAAGACTCAGTATATAGATATAAACCAAAGTAATTTATAATCTTAAAATAAAAAGTAACTAAAATAACTACATCTACAAACTCAATTATTATTAACAAATAGTATAGTACAAGACAAGCATAGTACAAAATATCAGACTATAAAATCTCAAACCATTTCAATGGTAATTCAGATTTTTACTCAGAATGATACTCTGTAAAATCAAAAATATGCACCACAAGTGATAAATCATTCTTTATAGATAGATCTATTGTTAATACTAATATATCAACAGTAACAGCTAGAGTAGCATGAATAACATGATTCTCTAGATATAATTTTAAGTTTGCTATAAATAATTCAACATCCAACATCAAAACAGAGCTGTTTGCAATTTGCACTTTATCAGAAATCATATCAGCAAATTCTGAAATCCTGATTTTAACAGATAGTTAATCAGTAATCCAAGAATTTAAGTATAATATAAATTATTAAGATAAGCAATTTATCAGGCAGTTATACTAATAATCAAACTGGCTATTCTGAGAAATATTAATATATAATATAAGTATAAATAATCTCAAAATAATATTTAATAAAGTTAAAGAATACTCAAATAATCTGGGTAATAAGATAGCTGATTAATTAGTAAATCAAGATCACAAAGCAAATCAGCTAATTGTAAATTACTATAATATACCTATATCTAAATTTATACTAATTTTTGATCAGATCATGGAAATTGACTCAAATATGTAGCACTTTCTTAAAAAAAAATATTATTAAAATAAGTATATAATTAAGTGGTAATATGAGAATAAAGTTAGTAAAATTCTGAGATCAATGTATAGAAAAATAGACTGGATATCTATATTTCAAGTTTGAAATCAAGATGGTGAAATAAATAGTAATGTGATAAATACGTGTTCATCTAAAATTAGAACTTTTTATATTAAAACATTTCATAATATGCTTCCAACTCTTCAATATCTTAGAGCTTACAGATCTTATATATATAAGAATAACTAGTATTTACTATGTAACAGCATGCAAGAGAATCAAAAATATATATAGTCTTGTCCAATAAATAAAAATAATAAAAACAATATCAAATAGCAAATACAATCAGTTCTCAGTGATATAGTCACATCTTTAATAAAAGATAATAACAAAATTATACAGAATGTTATCAGAATGTACTTTCAATTATCAGCAGTCTTTACAAAGATGTTTAACATTAATATTTGTAATATAATATATCAGGTATTATTATATAGACTCATACTTAAGAAATTGATTTAATTCTTTTATAATTATCATTTTTCAGTTGCAATAACTAGAATAATATTAATAAAATTCATCAAATAAATATCCAATAAATTTTATATCAGCACATGGATATCTAGATATAAGTTGGTTAATTAAAAGGAAAAATTAATAGAAATTATAAGAAAAATAAAAGTGCAAAGTTTAACAGATAGCAAAGATCAATTTATAGGATTAGTAATCACACTTTTATATCAAACTATTAGCAAAATATGAAAAAATTCATTCCTCTATACATGTAATCATCCAGATAATACTCATTAAAATGAATAGTATTTCTTACAAGCAAAGATAAAAAGAAAAAGTATAGATATAACACATAATATAGATATTTTACATGTTAAATCAAATAAAATTATTTTATCTTTAGAACTAGTTTAGTCTTAAACAGATCTGGAATGGCTAGTCATATCTTATATTTTAAATATAATATGAATAATCTCTAATCTATCATTTATCAATATGTAAATTAGCATAGAGTATATATAAATGAGAGATAAGACTACATTATAATAATTCAAATAATAATAATAATAATAAAAGTTAAAATAATAATATAATAATAATAATAATAAAAATTAAAATAATAATTATAATAATAATAATAAAAATAATAATAATACTAATAATAAAAATAACATAAATACCAAATATATATTATAATCAAGTTAAAATATTCATTCATTATTAATTCTAACATCAAAGATAAATTCTTAGATCATAAATCTTTTATCTTTTATAACTCAATTCTTCACATCCATTCAGATTCAGAACTATATATCTGTTAATTTTCTTCTTTTCATCATATAAATAACATTTATCTTCTAGCAGGCCATATTAAACTAACTCATTCTAACTTTATAAAGCAAAAAATGTAACTAGCATTATCTTATAATACTTTTATTAACTTTATAATACCAGTTTAATTCTATCAGTAGCTAATCATATTGATACTTTTTGGTAGCCCTTTTTGTACAATAGGAAACTGTTTCTAGAACAGCTAAAGTCTATGTATTTTAGTATAGTTTCTTACATCTAGGATAGGATTACACTGCAGCATAATAAAATAATAATAAAAATAATTATTAACTTAGTAATTTTAGTTAAATAAAAATTACCAATAACTAGTAAAAAGATTTTTTTTAATAATTATAATAATTAATAATTAAAAATCTATATTACAAAAATAGTAATAATAGTTATTTAAACTAAAAAATACATTTTTAAAAGATAAATATATATTAAAATTAAAATTAATAAATTCTTTAGTCAGATTGTGTGTTCGTGACACACAGGCCACGCTAGATCACATGTCCGAGTTTTTTCGGCGAGAAGGCACTCGATAAACCCGTGATCATACAGTCTCACGATTTACTTGGTAAAATTGCCAGTATCAGGAAAGGATATGGAAAACGTGAGATTTCGTCATCTACAAATTTTAACGATCAATGGATTTTTCACCAACAGTACTATAAGATGACCTGATTATCACCCAAAATTTTTATTCAACGTTATGTCTCTAGCAAAACAAAACTACTCTACCGCAGCCGAAGACCAAATTAACGCACAGATATTACAGGAGCAAACGGCTGCGGCTAATTATGAGTCTATTGGTGCTTATTTCGCTCGCGATAACATCGGGTTACCTGTGAGTATTTTTTGTTTTTTTAAGTTTTGAGGGTCGTTTATTGATTCCTTTCGATATATACCATACGCACAGGGTTTAGCGAAATTTTTTAGAAATCAGGCTGAGGAAGTATGAAACTCTTTTTTTATCAACTTGATTCTCGCGTGGATGATCTCCTGGTTAGTCCTGTAATATATTAGACATATAATGAACGAAATTATCTTACACAATAGGAACGCCAACACGCGCAAAAATTGATGCATTACCAACAATTGCGGGGAGGTTGTGTTGTACTGCATCCGATCCCAGCACCTCCGGTAAATTAAATGTTGATATCTTTTTTCGAGGCTTTATTCTTGATTTACTATCATTATTTCTATTGTTAGACTGAATGGCAGTCGGCGAAAAATGCAGTTGGTATGTTAATATAATTTATTTTATTTTCATAATGAACAATTAATAATAATTATGATAATATCCACGGATAAAGAGGTATCACTTGATTTAGAGAAAGAAGTGAACAAGAATCTACTCCACCTAAGCTCCCTCGCTGAAAATAATGGTGATTCACAATTAGTTTCATACATTCGGTAATCAAACTCGTTATTGTCAATGATTTAATCTTTTGGTCTTTGTTGGAATATTACATTAATGACATTCAAAAAAAATAATAAAAAAGCGAAGAATTTCTGTCGGAACAAGTGAGATCGATCGAAGAGTTTGCGAAAATGATTACTCATTTGAATCGTGTCGGTGGTGATGGTTTGGGGCTGTACCTTTTCGATCAGAATTTGTTGGAAAATGGCAAAATTGATGTTGGAGGTGGCAATAGTGGTGTTTAATATTTAGGCCTTCCATTTTTTATGTATTATTGACGTTTGTTGACTGTTTCAAATACACGAATTATAGAAGTAGCATAGATACTTCTAAACTGAGAAGCGCGAATATAAAAATGAATAGAAGAATATCGCGCATTTTTTAGTCTATACGGATTCGAACCATTTCAATACTATTGACGACTAGAATCTAGATGGATTATATCTTCATCGGTTTATATCCCCTTCTATTTAAGATCTCATTTGTTTCCCACATCTGAGCCCTTTTATATATTCAGACATACCCCATCCTCACTTATTAAAAAAATTTAGGAACGATATAACCAGGTATGACTCTATCATGATCGGTGTTTCGTGTAATGCGATGCTGTGTACACCAGATCAATATCATTGGGATTATGCAACCCATTATTATCGTAATGTCTTTGGTCCTTTCTCTCGCAATAGCTGCTTTACAAAGGAGTATTTACAAGAATTTTCATTGCCATAAAATAAATCAATTTTGAGAATTAAGACGCAGTTTCTGATATGTTTCTGATACTAAAAATGGTTAGGTAATGTTTGATCTATTCTCCAAAAAAAAGACGCGTTGCAGTAGTTGCTTATTGGTTATTTAATACATGTAATTCTTGTGATACTTCTAATCTTTTTAGACTACATCTTTAGCAAGCGTGGAGATAATGGCGCTTAAGAGCACTATTACGTTTCTATTATTGCAAATATTTACGTATGTGTGTATAGGCCTGCTTATAATATTGACTTGTATGCCTCAAGTAGGCACGGTAAAACAACAAGACTTTAAAACTTGTGACCAAAGTTCTTTTTGTCGTCGAAATCGTGCTTATGCGGATCGAGCTTCTGCCGACCCTAACTTTGTCTCACCTTACATGGTGAAAGAGGACTCGGTGTTACTTAAAGATGGGTTGTTATCTGGAGAACTTATTAACTCGCAAAATCAACACCTTTTTGTATTTGAGCTTCACTTATTAGAGAATAGTATATCAAGACTACGCATCAACGAAAAATCACCATTAAAACCGCGATATGATGAAGTAAAAAACTTTGCATTAGCACGTGAACTTCCAAACACTCTGAATTATACTGAGAGACCGATCAATACTAAAGATCACGATAGTCTCACGAAAACTAGCATTTATTTTGGCAATAAAAAACAAAATATGGTGGTTGTTCACCACTCTCCTTTTCGTATCGAATTTTTAGTCAATGATTTACCGATTGTCGCTTTTAATGATCGTGGATTTTTTAATTTTGAACATTTGCGCATTAAAAAACAAGCAAAAGATAATGGTGATCAAACATCAGACGAATCTAGTTCGGAAGATGCAGAAGATGAATACGGTTCTTGGGAAGAAAATTTTAACGGCAAAAGGGATAGTAAGCCTAATGGTATCTATATTTATTCTAAGCTCGTGGAAAAATCTTTTCTTTCATATAATCTAATATAAATGTTCTTTTCTTAGGTCCCGAATCTATTGCTCTTGACATTTCATTTCCTGGATTTGGTCACGTCTATGGTATTCCTGAACATGCATCATCTTTTTCGCTTAAAGAAACGCGGTATGTTTATCTTTTTTTATGATAAATTTTATGGCATGTAACGTGATTATTAAGAGATTCATTCAATGAATATAGAGGTGCAGAAGTAGGCTATAGTGATCCATATCGTCTATACAATCTTGATGTGTTTGAATATGAATTGGATAATCCAATGGCACTTTATGGATCAATTCCATTTATGATGGCTCATCGTAAGAGCGCTTCAGCTGCAATACTCTGGTTGAATTCAGCCGAAACATGGATTGATATTGTAAAATCTAAAGAAGATAAGGTAATTTAATGGTTTAATGTTAATGATATATATTATATTTTTAAATTCTCGTTAATCTGGGGTTTTCTTCTAGCACGGATTATCATCATTGCTATACTTTGGGAAAAAATTACCGACTTCAACTCACACACATTGGATATCAGAATCCGGAATAATGGATATTTTTGTATTTCTGGGTCCTACTCCCGCTGATGTTTTCCGCCAGTATGGGTCTGTCACTGGTTACACAGCGCTCCCTCAGTACTTTTCGATAAGTTATCATCAATGTCGATGGAATTATATAGATCAACAAGATATCGATGAAGTTGATCTTGGCTTTGACACAAATGAAATTCCTGTAGATGTGCTGTGGCTGGACATTGAACATACAGATGGGAAAAAATATTTCACGTGGGATCCCGCAAAATTCCCAGATCCGAAAAAAATGCAGAACTCCCTTTCAGTAAAAGGTCGCAAGGTAAATAAATAGAAACAAAAAGAATTATTTCTCAAACTATTCTCCGTCAATGTGATGAAATCATGAAATTATCATTGGGGGGAAATTGCTAATAATTTTTTAGTTGGTGACTATTATAGATCCCCATTTAAAACGAGATGATGGTTATTATATTTATAAGGAAAGTAAAGAATTGGGCATACTTGTTAAAGAGTTGAATGGTAATGATTTTGAAGGATGGTGCTGGCCAGGTAAAAGTATACTTTTATTATATATCTTTGGTTCTATTTTTTTTGATGCAGCTCAATTGATATGTCTGCATATCTATAGGAAGTTCATCTTGGATTGATTACACAAATCCAGCAGCTCGTGAATGGTGGGGATCACAATTTAAATTGGATAAATATCAGGTATTCGGAATCTTTCGCTTGAAATCTAAGCGTGTTTCGTGTAATTTCATTTTCACAATATATTCATATTTCTTGTAGGGTGCCACCGAAAATTTATTTGTTTGGAATGATATGAATGAGGTTTATCTCAATATAACGTTTTAGTATTACGTTCGATAAAAGTAATATAATCTCATTACTAATAAACTCAAATAGCCTTCTGTCTTTAGTGGACCAGAAATTACAATGCCAAAAGATATCATTCACCACAATGCTTGGGAACATCGAAACGTGCACAATGTTTTTGGACTACTGGTGGTATGTGACAGAAAAGGTCAAATTTTCCAGAATTGATTTTATTATAATCGAACAAATGTTATGAAATTCAGCATTCGGCCACAGCTCAAGGTCTTAGGAATCGCACACCGATAAGCAAACGTCCTTTTGTACTCTCTCGTGCATTCTATGTGGGCACACAACGATATGGTGCCATATGGACGGGCGATAACATGGCAAAATGGAGTCATCTCGCAGCATCATCACCAATGCTGTTGTCTATTGGAATATCTGGAATATCATTTGCTGGAGGTCAGTTTAGGATTATATTAATCTTTTTCTGGCATTTTTAATGATTTTAACATATTGAAAAAGTTTATTGATTTAATAGCTGATGTTGGTGGATTTTTTGGGGATCCGGATATTGAACTGTTAGTTCGTTGGTATCAAACTGGCGCGTTTCAACCATTTTTTCGTGCCCATTCGCATATTGATACCAAGAGGCGTGAGCCTTGGCTTTTTGGTGAGCCACATACAACACGTATACGAAATGCAATTCGTGAACGCTATGCTCTCTTACCTTATTGGTATACTGTTTTTCAGGAGGCTAGTGAAACTGGAATGCCTGTTATTCGGTTTGTGAATAAATCGATTGCAGTTTACCGGTGTAAATTCTTTTCGATTGCCTAAACTTACTATATTTTTTCTTAGGCCAATGTTTGTTGTATTTCCCGAAGATGAGGAGACATTCGAAATCGAAGATCAATATTTCGTTGGCGATTCTTTACTTGTGAAACCCATTGTAACTGAAGGACAAACATCCACGGAAATATACTTATCGAATAATGAGGTTTGTCTCCTATATTTTTATTTAGAATGAATTTTTTAACGTTATATTTACAAAATTAATGTTTAATTGTCTGTCATATAGATTTATTATGACTATTTCACGTTTGATCCAGTACGTGGATCTGGTAGAATCAAAGTAGACGCTCCCATTGAAAAATTTCCCGTTTTATTAAGAGGTGGCTCTATAATTCCTCGAAGGCAACGGATACGACAGTCTTCTGCATTGATGCGATTGGACCCACTAACACTTTTGGTTGGAATCGATCAAAATGTGAGTAATTAAAGGCTCTTTTTATTGTAGAATATATATTAACTCTAATAATTATGAATAGGGTGAGGCTAAGGGGTCGTTATATATGGATGATGGCGAAACATATAACTACCAAAACGGCGATTATATACATCGTAATCTCACCTATTCGTCTTATAGCAAACTCATCTCTACATCATTTCCTATTAGCGGTGACAACACAAACTTTGTAAAATCAATAAAAGACGTTCGAGTGGAACGAGTTATAATAATAGGATTAAGTAAAAAACCAACAAAAATACTTGCATATCATAATGATGAAAACAACGAAGTAAACAATAACCAAGGATTGACATTTACTTGGGGTCAGAAAGATGTTCTTGGTACTGGCGTGACATTCACAAATACTAATGATCAAGTATTGGTGATTAAGGATCCAAAAGTTTTAGTATGGCGAGATTGGACTATTGAGATTGTATTTTGAGATTTTTTATTTAATATATTATTTAATTAGATGCTTCTTTTTGATTGATGTTAATAAAACCGTATTATAGATTCGATGCTTGTATAGCAGTTAGAAATTGTTAGTCAAAATTGGAATTGTGCCGCAAAAATTATCTTCGAAAAATTTGGTTCAATTATTTTTTTAATATAGATAACAAAAAAAACATAGGATAGTCTTTAGATTATAATTTTTATTGGTTATTTATTGAAATTAATATTTAGAAAGAACTTTATAAAAGTTATTTTTCACAGAATTTATTAAAAATATTTTTCTTAAAGATATTTTATTAATTAAATTACAAGATTAGTATATATATAGTGTGTAAAAAAAAACTGGCAATTTTAATTTTAGTTACATTCAATGAATATTTATTTAATTCATATAAATTTTAAATATATATGCTTGATAATCTAGTAAAAAAGTTTACTTAAAAAGTATTTAACAGTTTATCTTAATAAATTTTTCGTAATTAATATTTTTTTTAATCTTTTTTATTTTTTATTTAACAAATATTTATTTAAATTATATAAAATTTTAAATATATATACTTAATAATCTAGTAAATAAGTTTACTTAAGATTAATTTACAAAATAATAATCAAATTTATTTATAATAATTTATTTAAGTTTTCTTATTATTAAAAATTTTTAATTTTAAAAAATAAATTATAAAAAATTTTAATAAGATAAGTATTCAAGTAATCTTAAATAAAGTTATTTATCATATTCTCAAGTATATATATATTTAAATTTTTATATTATTTAAATAAATATTTATGAAGAAAATTAAAATTTCCAGTTTTTTTACACATTGTATATAAATTTCAAAATAAAAATAAAAAATTATTAGTAATTCTTTTTGATTTTTAATTTATTAAAGATTTTTTTTCTTTTTCTCTTTATTTAATTAATTAATTAATTATTTTTTAATTAGAATAAAATATAGAAATTAAATGATTTTTATTTTATAAATAACTTATTTATCTCTTTTAATTTTGATTTTTTGATTAATTAAGAAATTTTTTAATTATTTAATTTATAATTATATCTTTTTTTCAAAATAATCACTTTAATTTTTATTTCTATTCTTATTTTATTTTAATTTATATTTGATTTTGATAAATATTTTAATTTATACTTATTATTTATATCTCAAAAAAAAATAAATTTATTAATAATATAACAAGTTATTTTATTAATTTAATTATATATTTGTTATATATTTTTGTATTATATAACTTGAAAATAATTAATTAATATTTTAATTTTAAATATGATTTTAAAAATAAATTAATCAAATTACAAGATTAATATATAATAAAAAAATTCAAAATAAATAAAAATAATTTGTATTTTATTAAATTATATTTTAATAATTTTATATATTTTCTATTTATTATAATTTTTATTTTAAATCTAATTTAAATTATATTATAATAAAATATTAGTTAATATTCTTATCTTGTAACTTGATTAAAATCAAAATTTCAATATTTAATATTTTTAATATTTAAAATTTTAAAATTTTTATATAAATTTTATTTTTTATTATTATAATAATAATAATTATATATTTTATATTAATATTTATTATATAATTTTAAATTATAATAATAAATATATCAAGATTTTAAGAATATTAAAATATTAAAAAATTAGAATTTTATAAATATCAAAATTTTAAATATTTTGAATTTTAATATTTTATTTTATAAGTCAAAATTTTAAATATTAAAAATTTAAATATTGAAATTTTAATATTAATTAAATTATAAAATGTAAATATTTAATTAATATTTTGATTATAATATAATTTAAAATTAAATATATAATTAAATATATAATTAATAACAAAAAACTTAATTATTTTTTGAAGCTAAATAAAATTTATAAAAAATAATTATTATTTAAATAATAAAAAATAATTTATATATATATTTTTTAATATTTAAAAATAAAAAATAATATAATTTAATAAAAAATTATAGTATTATTTTTTATAAATTTGAATTGAAATTAAAATTCATTTTTTTAAAAATTTAATAAAAATTTTTAACAAATTATTTTATATATTATTTTTAAATAAGTTTATTTATTTAAATTTTTAATAAAATTTAGATAAAATTTAATAAATTTTTATTATATAATAAAGAAAATATAATTTTTATATATAAAAGTCAAATAAAAAATAATATTAATATTATTTAATAAATAATTTTAAGTAAACTTTTAATAAATATTATAACTAATCACTTATTTGTATGATATAGTAAATATGGTATAGTATATGGCATAATTATAGCATATGATATAATAATTACTGATTACTACTAAATTAGATGAATAAGTAATTTTTATTAATTAATCTTATTTATAATTAATTTTATTTTT